CATAGACAACCAAGTATATAAATTTACCATGATCATTACGGTGGAAAAATATTGAATGATCAGTTGTACTTCGTGACATCCCAAACTGTTGAATCACATAACTGAACTGTCCAAACCATGCTCTAGGTGACTGCTTGAGACCATATAAAGACCGACGTAGACGACACACCAATCCTGACTCCCCTTGAGCGAAAAACCCTGGCGGTTGGTGCATATACACTTCCTCGGCAAGTTTACCATGCAAGAAGGCATTTTTGATATCCAACTGATGAAGAGGCCATTGATACATGGCCACTAAAGAGATCAGGAGGTGTACCAAAGTAATCTTAGCAACAAGAGAGAAGGTATCACTATAGTCGAGCCCATAGATCTGAGTGTACCCCTTTGCAACAAGGCGATCCTTCAGCCGATCAACTTTGCCATCAGGACCAATCTTAACAGTGTAAACCCAACGACACCCAACAACAGTCTTGCTTGACAGTAAGGAAACCAACTCCCAAGTACCATTATGATCGAGAGCAGTCATCTCCTCAATCATGGTAGCTCTCCACCCTAGATGTGCCATTGCCTTGCTAACAGTGTTAGGTATAGGGATAGAAGACAGGTTTGAAGTAAACGTAGAATAAAATGGAGATAAACGATCATAACTAAGAAAATTATAAATAGGATGTGGGTTTCGAGACGATCGAATACCTTTGTGAAGGGCAAGTGGAGGAGTTGCCTCGTCTATAAGAGACATGACTGGAGCAGGCGATGGAGGAATAGGAGATGGGTCATCAGGATTGACCGAGGTACCTGTATCAAGAAGGGAAGTACGATTAGGATTAGTAGAAGGACGAGGACGACGAGAATAAACTTGGAGAGGAGGATGATCCATCGACGAGGAATGAGGGATGGGGATAGGTAAGGTGGCAGGGATAAGATTGCTATTGACGGTGCTTTCAGAAAAGTATGGAGATGTCTCAAAGAAAGTTACATCTGCAGGAACAAAATATTTGTTGGTGGTTGGGTCATAGCAACAGTAACCTTCTGGAGACGAGAATATCCTAAAAAGATACACTTAACGGATTTAGGTTGTAATTTGTCTTTGCCTGGAGTGTAAGCATGAACAAAGCAAATGCAACCAAACACCCGTAAATGTATTGGGTATGGGTCTTTACCAGGAAACAGAATGGAGTGAGGACTCTTATGTTGCAAGACAGAAGAAGGCATACGGTTAATCAAGTAACAGGCGGTGAGAACTGCATCCCCCTAAAATCGAAGAGGAACATGATGATGTATAAGTAAGGTACGAGCTGTTTCAATAAGATGATGATTTTTGCGTTCAGCGACCGCATTCTGTTGAGCAGTATAGGCACATGAGGTCTGGTGAATAATACCCTAAGAAGACATATACTTAGTAAAGGGAGAAGATAGAGATTCCCTAACATTATCACTACGCAAAATCTTAATAGAAACACCAAATTGATTACAAATCTCAGCACAAAAATTCTGAAAGACAGAAAATAACTCAGAATGAGTTTTCATTAAAAATACCCAAGTATTACGAGAATAGTCATCTATAAAAGTAACAAAATAATAGAAACCCAAAGTCAAACTGACACGACTAGGACCCTAGCTGTCTGTGTGAACAATGTCAAACATTGAGATGGCCATATTATTGACTCGCTTGGGAAAGGAAACTCTAGTATGTTTTCCAAGTTGACATGACTCACAATTAAAAGAAGATAATGTAGACAGACTAGGTATTAATTTCTGAAATTTGGCAAGACTTGGATGACCAAGGCGACTATAAAGAATGTTTGTAGATGCAGTAGAGGTGAAGGCAACTGGTGGATTTGGATCGGAGAGGTGGTACAATCCATGTGATTCATGTCCTGGTCCAAACGTCTGACCTCTGTTCCGATCCTGCGCCACAACAGAGTTAGCAAAAAAGGTAACAGAACAGTTAAGATATTTGGTTAACTTACTAATAGAAATTAGATTATATGGACATTCAGGGGCGAATAAGATTGAGTTTAAAGAAATGGAAGGAAGTGGTCGAGCTTCTCCTATTCCTTTGACCATAGTCTGTGAACCATTAGCAAGAGTAATTTTTGATAAAGTGGGAGAAGAGGTAATTTGAGATAAAAGATTTTTATTAGCAGAAATGTGGTCAGATGCTCCAGAATCCAAAATCCATGGGCTAGTGGAGGAGGTCCTGCTCAGATAGGCAAAGGAATTACCAGTTTGGGAGGCACCAGATGAGGATGACTACTGGTTGACAGCTTGATATTGAAGATACTCATTGTAATCAGCCCCAGACAATGTAATGGAGTTAGGTTGTTGGTCTTTAGCATCAGGTAAGGGAAGGAGTCCATCTCCAGTTGCTTGAGCCACATGAGCGGTGGATCGATTAGAAGATTGACGTGGTGGCCCCCCATGCAAAGCCCAACAAGTGTCTCGGTTGTGGCCATTCTTTTCACAATAGGTGCAATGTGGTCTAGATCCCCTTCCTTTTCCCTTTCGAGAACCACTCTGTCCTTGCTGATTTCCTGCCTAAACAGCTAATACAGATGTCTCAACCTCATTAGTATCGCCTAGGTTTAAAGAAAGACGCAGTAATCGACCAGATACATCTTCCAAAGATGGTATGGTAGGGCTAGCTAAAATTTGATCTCGAATAGAACCAAGGTTAGATCGTAGTCCGATTAAGGCTATGACAGTAAAGAATTTGTCACGTTGTCTCTCTTGTTCAGTGGTACTATCAGATACTGGCATAAGGGAATCAAATTGATCTTTTAAAGTCTTTATCTACCCTTAATAGCTCTCCATATCTTGATTATTTTGTTGAAGGTGGACAATATCATAAACAACTCTATATATTCTTTGCACATCATTCGTATACAAAGTTTTGGCTTGGTCCAGACCTTACAACAAGTTTTACAAGATTGAAACAATTAAGCAGTTTAGGGTCTAAAGAGTGCCAAATGAGACTACATAACTGAGCATCAACTTTAACCCAACTAGCCCTCTCAGTAGTAGAAATATCAGTGGATGTTTTACTTAAATGATCATCATAACCTTGCCCTATAAACCATAACTCTACTGAAGCAGCCCATGACGCATAATTACGACTACCCTGAAGCTTGACTGTAGTAATTGTTGGAGAACTAGAAATAAAAGAGAAGAATGGTTTAATATCACCTGATTTGGATGCTTCTGCCATTGTAATCAAGAGAAGTCAGAGATAAATCCAAAACGGTAGAAACACCCTCTGTCAGAGTTGAATCACCAACAAGAAGGAAGAACTGGAGGAAACCGATAGCCTGAGAAGAACTTGAAGATGCCGACGAACCAGGAGAATCGAGAAATAAACTCCCCAAAAGCAAAAAGGAACGCCTCCTTTAAAGATATGTTTTAGGGTTTCTGAAATAGATGGATTTAGAAGAAGAAGAAGGCCAAGAACCAGGTTGGCTCTAATACCAAGAAACAACAGTGTTTGTGAAATATGTTGCTTGATTATTTCCCCAAGCAAGATGGGAATTTATACAATGTACAAGTTACATGAATTAGGACAGAATTGATCCTAAATAATCAAGGATAATGGGAATTTATACAATGTACAAGTTACATGAATTAGGAAAGAATTGATCCTAAATAATCAAGGATATACGCACAATATTAGTCTACCATATTTACACAAATCAATCTAGGAACTACTATCTCTATTTTCCTAATATATCTTAACAGTCAATCTAGGAAATAATATCTCTTTTTTCCTAATATATCTTAACACTGACGATACATATTAAACAATTTTTTATTTTATTTTATTTTAATTAATTAATCATTCTTATGTTGTTTTCATGTGCAATCTCGTTGTATTTAAATAGCCTTAGGGGTTTTGGTGAGTGATGATCGGGAAAGAGAATGGTGATGGTGTGGGGTTGCAACGATGTTGGAATCAGAAACATAATATAAATTTAGATAATAAAGTCGTATTTTAAGAGTTTGTGGGTATGAAAGTGTCATTAAACCATTATTTGGGTGGGAAAAAAGTCATTTACTCTTTATCATAGTTAGGAAAAAAATCCTCAAGTGCGACTAGATTAAGAAATTTTTTAGTTAATTTTTTAATTTGGTAATCTTTTCAAAAGGAAGGTAATTAATATATAGGTTACTCATTTACACATTCATGGGTTAAGTGTGAAGGTAGTTGATATATAAAGATATTCCTTCACATGACACTATACCTAATCATAGACATTAAACAATTTTTTAGATTGAATTAACCATTCTTATGTTGTTTTTTTCTTTTATGACTGATGTGTCTAGATTAGTTTGTGCATATCTTAACTAATCCACAAGATTCATTATTGGACACCGCCCGATAATGGCCCAAGGTTTGAATCTAGAAAGTCAATGAAGGGAGTAAAATTCCTTAACGGCTAGGCCAACCCCTCGGTGTTTCTTATGTTGTTTTGTCTGAACCAATTTATGCGTACCTCAATTGATCTTGAGGATTTATTATTGGATACCTTATAAGCTCAATAGTGGCCCAAGGTTCGAATCCAGAAAGTCAATAAAAGAAGTAAAATTCCTTGACGACTAGGTCAACCCCTCGGTGTTTCTTATGTTGTTTTATGTTAAGAGAATGATGATTGTGTGGGGTCGTAACGATGTCGGAATTAGAAACAAAATATAAATTCAGATAATAAAGTGGTATATTAAAAGTTTGTGGGTATAAAAGTGTCATTAAACCATTATTTGAGTGGGAAAAAGGTCTTTTACGCTTTATCATATTTAGGAAAAAAAGCCTCAAGCGCCGTTAGATTAAGAAATTTTTTAATTAATATTTTTATTTGGTAATCTTTTCAAAAGGAAGGTTATTCACTTACATATTCATTGGTTAAGTGTGAAGGTAGTTGACATTTAAAGATATTCCTTCACATGACACTATACCTAATTTCTTACGTTGTTTTCATGTTAATTAAAGTCTTGAAATATGGGGACTGAAATTCTGAGCTTTATCTAGTTGTGTTTAAATAGCCTCGGAGGTTTTCAACTTCTCTATAATAAAAAGTCAAGAATCCTTCCACTTGTATGGCATCAACCGAATCCGAAGTCGCCTTAAAGTTTCGATTCTTTCAAGTTTACAAGGACGGCCGCATCCAGTTATTCTGGCCGCACTGGGATAAGATTCCACCATACGATGACCCCATCACCGGCGTCCGATCAAAAGACGTAACCATCTCATCAGAACCTCCTGTATCCGCCCGTATTTTCCTACCCAAACTCACAAACCCTAATAACCACCACAAGTTCCCTCTCTTATTCTACGTTCACGGCGGTGGCTTCTCCATGATGTCAGCCTTTTCTCCACACTACCATAACTTCTGCAGCAGCGTTTCAGCTCAAGCTGGCGTCATAGTGGTCTCCATCGAGTACGGACTCTTCCCGGAGCGACGGTTGCCCGCTTGTTATGAAGACTCATGGGCTGCGCTTCAGTGGGTGGCGTCTCACGTTGGTGGAAATGGACCTGAACCTTGGCTGAACGATCATGTTAATTTCAAGAAAGTTTTCTTTGGCGGAGATAGCGCTGGCGGGAATATCTCGCATACTTTGGTGTATAGGGTGGGGGCAATTGGGTTACCAGGCGTGAAAGTTGATGGGGTAATACTAGTTCATCCATTTTTCGGCGGGACGGAAGATGATGAGATGTGGTTGTTCATGAATCCGATTCACGGTGGGTTGAAGGATCCTAAACTGAAACCGCCTGCGGAGGATCTGGCTAAGCTTGGGAGTGAAAGAGTGTTGATATTTGTTGCTGAGAAAGATGACCTGAATGTTGCGGGGAAAAATTACTATGAAGAATTGAAGAAAAGTGGATGGAGAGGCAGAGTTGAGCTTATTGAAAACCATGGCGAAGATCACTGCTTCCATTTGCGTCACCCCACATATGAAACGGCTCTCCAGTTGACCAATAAATTTGTTTCTTTTATCAAAAATGATTCATAGATTAATTATCACTTATTATTCTTATTTTAATTACAATTTTATTTTTTATTAAAATTATATATATATATAAGTTATACTTGGTTATTATTTAATGAGCAAACAACGTATTCCCACATGACGTTTAACGAAATCTCAAGTTAATATTCCTGATTACATTTATTCCAGATTTTCACCCCTAAAAGTAACGCCGTTTCCTTTATTTTGATAGATTTTTAACTTTTCATTATGGCACGGCATATGTTAGCATGCTAAAGTGCTCTAACACTTTTTTTAGCAAAAGATTGGCTCATGTTAGCAAAAAAGACTTACGTTAATAGGGTTTAAGTCGATGGTTTTAGGCTTGTTTCGGTCGATTCTAAAGTTTAAAATCATTTTTAAAACTACCGTAGAACTCCTCATAACCTCCTTTATCAAACTTATAGCTTCACTTACCGACCTCACTCATGATTTTTTACCACTTTAAATAATCATTAACAATGTTAGTTCAAAGATAAAAATCTAGAATAAATACCATCAAGGGTATCAATTCGAGACTTCGCTCAACCTTGGGTGGGAATATGTCGCTTGCTCTTATTTAATTTGAATGTTAACGTTGAATGTTTGGTGACGACAATTTGTTCATTCCCATAATCTCCACAATAAAATATAAAACGTTTTCTATTTCTTCATTAAACGACGAGACAAGAATCCTTTCCCATCTTACCATCGACTTGAACTGAAGTCCTCCATCAAACCTCTCCCTTCTGCTTCTTCAATGGCATCAAGCGACTCCGAAATCGTCAAGGAGTTTCGATACTTCCGAGTGTACAAAGATGGTCGAGTTCAATTAACCTTTCCGCCCTTCCTCAAGGCCACGGTTCCACCGTCCGATGATCCCGTCACCGGTGTCCGATCCAAAGACGTTACGATCTCATCTGAACCTCCTGTGTCCGCCCGTATTTTCATCCCCAAACTCACAGACCCTAAACAAAAGTTCCCTCTTTTATTCTACGTGCACGGCGGTGGCTTCTGTATCATGTCCGCCTTTGCTCCAGGCCACCATAGCTTCTGTAGCACCCTTTCAGCCGAGGCTGGGGCCATAGTTGTTTCTGTGGAGTACGGACTCTTCCCAGATCGACCCATACCGGCTTGTTACGAAGACTCATGGGCTGCACTCCAGTGGGTGGCGTCTCACGTTGGTGGAAGTGGAGCTGAACCTTGGCTAAATGATCATGCTGATTTTGGCAAAGTTTTTATCTGTGGAGATAGTGCCGGAGGAAATATCTCGCATACTTTGGCGTTCCGGGTCGGTTCAATCGGGTTACCTGGAGTGAAAGTGGTTGGGGTGGTCTTAATTCATCCTTATTTCGGTGGGACAGAAGTCGATCAGATGTGGTTGTGTATGAATCCAAGTAACAGCGGGTTGCAGGATCCCAGGCTGAAACCGCCGGCAGAGGATCTGGCTAAGCTCGGGTGCGAGAGGGTGTTGATATTTGTGGCGGAGAAAGATGATCTGAATGTTGTGGGGAAAAATTACCATGAAGATCTGAAGAAAAGTGGATGGGGTGGAAGAGCTGAGCTTGTGGAGAATCATGGTGAAGAGCACGTTTTCCATATGCTTAATCCCAATGTTAAAAGGCAGTGGAATTGACCAGTAGATTGTTTCATTATCAAAGAAGATTGTGTAAAAGTAGTTTGTAAATTACGTAAGGGTTGTCGTTTGCAAGAGCTAAATTGTGTCTGTTACATTGATGAAATGGATGTATGTATGGATTTGGAAAAAACGGTATCATACTTTTCATTTTGATGATAAATGTTTCCTTGATTGGGAAATAAATCTTCTGTTTCATTGCCTTTTTTCCTTGATTGAATTGAGAAGGGTAGAGGTAATGCCGAAAGTTAAATGTTTTCTCATCCCAATCAAGATGTGAATAAGAATTAGATTTCAGGTAAGGTTTTCAAGACAAATTCTGATAAAAACCTATTAATAATGGGAAGAATGTTGTATCCACTTGATTTTTCAATCTTTTACTCAACCAGTTTGTGAAATGGCCCACTTGATCCATTTCACATTACCATTGGGGATAATCGTGGTTCAATAGGGTTTTTAAGTGTATTATTCCAGGTTCTTTAGTTTGATTCTTTATAAGTTTCTAATTGAGGCTATCACTTAAACTCTTATCCGACCGTAGCTCTAGATCCCTTAAACTCTTATCCGATCGTTAGTTCTAAGATTCTGAAAGAGTATATGATGTGCGTAAATTGACCTGAATTCCGAGGTCATAAACAATAATAATAATGGTAAACAGAAGTAAAACTCATCTGCATCTAAAACACTAGCTGCCACTTCTCATTTCTCCTCCTTCTTTCTCATTCTCAATCTTTCAATCTGGCACATGGTGTCTCTTTTTCTAACCATTTTCATCAGCATTATACGAAGATATGCTTGTTAGGGCCAAAAATCATCTTGGGCTTGATGAAGTCCATAACGAAATAAACATGTCACGGCCCAGGCCTCAATCCAATCCCGATTGGCCTACGCTTAAAATCACCTTTGACTATCCACCATCTAGTTGGGCTATTCTATAAGTTAAGTTAAAACAGTTTCGCCCATTAGCCTACGACAATCTATAAAATGAATCAGAATCTCATTCTATTTCCTTTTCTACTAAGATTTCAATCTTACTCAAACTATTAAACTTGATCTGATAAGGTCAATAATCTCCTCTTTATGATAGGATTATCTTCTAAATAGACTTAGTGTCCACTGAATTCCAATCTTATAGGTAAAGAAATCATATCTCTTTCATGATAGAGATTCTCCAAATAGGACTTAGTGTCTTACTAAGATTCCAACCCCTTGGGTTCACTATAAAACAGAGACTGCCCTCTCATTAGGGGGAATCTCCCATAGTCAATCTACACTACTCAAAACCATCTATTTGCTCCTAAAGTTCTTGATCCCAAGAACCGACGCCTCCGCCGTAGTCCTAGCTTCCGACAAGCCTCCTGTTATTCTTCATCTCCTTAATTCTTATCAAATAATCTCTTTCAGCCTTGCTCTTGAGCGTCGAGTACCTACGCAAAACACCACCCCGGTGTTTTCCAGAAGCTTCACGCTTGCCCTTTTATGTGTGCAGGTCTAGCGGATTGTCAGTGACCTCAACTTCACAGATCAGACCCTATTTTCATGATGGTAGATTTTTTGCATCTATAGTTTGGCGCCCACCGTGGGGCCCTGACAATCATCTGCTAACGATAACTGGCAACATGAGAGGAGGCATGTAACTCCCTTCGACTGACATTGCTAATCATAAATTTTATCACGATAAGAAAATTTTCTTTACTTTTCTCCATTTGTTTTATCTATTCAGCACGTGATATGATACCTTGAAGCATCAACACATCCCCCATATTCATAATTTGTTCCATGTATCGGTTGGAATTTTCTCACTTCTCGTATGCGTTTAATTTCTTTTGGAGGGTATTTGTGGTCTAAAACCCTTACATCTCATGGCATGTTTTTGTGTATTTAAAAACCCATCTTCCTCTCCTTCTCTAGACCCGCAAATTCTCCAACCACAGCAAATGGTTGAATGTTAACGTCGCCTTCGTGTCGAATTACTAAAATCCCCACAAACCTTGAATCAAACTCCCTCAGTCCATGCAACTGGTAAGATATACCTGACTAGTTTTGACTTCCTGCCGTCAATGCCAAGATACCACTCAGCTCGTTCGAAGCAAGTCAAACCGAGAATAAATGCCCAACTATACTGACCCCTTCAGAATCCCAACCTCCCATTCCCCTTCCAAATCCTCTTTCGAAACCACAAAAGCCAAACACTTCCAAATACTAAGGTCCTTCAAAAATTGCTCATCCTGTGTTCTATCCAGCATTCGTCAAAAAACTACTCAAACCCATATTTAAGACAAACCCAAATTTTCTTTTTCAAAAGTCGCCAAAATCACCTCAAATTCATCCAGAGTAGCCTAGAAGGTTTTAAGAACAAAAAGAATAGAGAAAAACAATGAAAGAATCAGGAGAAATCACTGTGAATCTCTAAGAAATCGCCCACACCTTCGGCTAGAAAGAGTAAAACTTAAAAGAGATAATAAAAATAAAAAGTTACAGGTTTTGAATGAATGCCATTGCCAAGCATTATGGCATTTAATGCACCTTGGTTAAAACCGCCATGTGGTGAACTTTTGGAAAGGTAATTTTTTCTCATTATTTTCAGCCGCCTGTACAATGAGCCCAATTCCATATTTTGTGCTCACATCGTTTATCAGAGTTTTATTTGGAATTCTTTGGAAATCTAATTCCTTGGCAGAAGGCACAATGGCTTCACTCAGATCGGTCCACCGAGCGGGCAACATGTTATATTCGTCTCAATTGGCCCTGTAACTCCCACTCAGTTTTGTCTCCATGCGGCTTTGATCACACTACAACAGAACTCTTTCCACTCTCGCTCATCCACCGAGTGGGAGAAATTAAAAATCGAAAGTGGTTCTCCTAGTCAACTTTATTTGACTCAGCAGTCAGCACACCTTCCCCACATGATATAGTGGGCCGAGCCGAGTGGATTCTAAGCTACCTCAAAACAAGAATATATCCCTCAAATTATTTAAATAGTCCAGATAACTCCATTAGACACATACTCATCACCCCATGTGGCAAAAGTACGCCCAAAACAACTATAAAAGTCGTCATCTGCTCGGCTGGGACTATGACTCTACCTCTCTTTGGAACATCTTCATTCAGGGTTGGGTTATTTCTTCATTCTGGCTGTGTGAGCTTTGCCGAGTGGGTCTGTCCAAGCTCACACTCATACACCTCCTACTCGAGTACGACTGATTCGATGCATCTAAAGACCACTCCCTGTAGACTAATGGTGCTTTCGTATCACCTCCTCAAAAGTCAAATCAAATACTCCACTCCGTTCAGCAGCACGGTGGCAAATTGAAGGGAAGGTATGTGTCATTTCCTCCTTTACTACCACTCTATTTGGTTAATCTTTCTCCATTCGGCCCATTACTTAATACATGCAGCCCATTTTTCCATTAGCTCACTCTTTATTCAGTCCATAACACATGCACATCATGCATATAGCTCTCCATTCGACTATTTG